CTAACCCCAATATAGAAGACCCTAACCCTAAAGTTAATCGAAAAAATTATTAAATATGAGTTGTCTCCGCTTTAGACATCCCTTTAATATAGTAATATTGAGGTTGTTGTTGTGGGAAATAATTGTTGTGTTGTTGTTTTTTCCTAGGAACTCTGTTTGGATGTTGTTAAAACCTGTTTGGATGAGATGGTTGTTGTTGTTGTTGTAGTGTAATGACGTCATAATGGTTTTTGGAGGGGGTAAGCTGGATTGCCCACTTTTGGTGTTTGAGTGTAGTCTTGGGAGAAGAGTGCATTGTCTCTTGAAGTTTGTGTCAGTATAGGTGGAGTCTAGTTTGACTGAAGCAGTCTTTTTGCACTTTTTGTTTCGATTACTACTGTTGTGTTCGCTCATTTGGAGTTGAGGTTGAATAGTAAGAGTAAATGGTACGAAACAGCCCTTAGGCCAGGTATTTTCTTTGTTGTCGGTTGGGTGGTTCTTACTGCTCTGTTTTCTCTTGATTTTGATTACTTAGGAGTGTGTACTGGTGGTGTATAGATGTTGTTTCATCTTCTTGACTATGTATTTAGTTACTTATTTAGTTGCTTTTAGAATTTTTGTTGTATCGATTTTTATTTTCTATTAAAATTGAGATCTAAGGGAAAGAGTTTTTTTTTGATATGAATTTTATTTGAATTGAATTTCATTCTAATAAATTATACTTAAAATCGTTTAAATTTTTGTAATTGAAAGTTTTATGTATTTGTAATTCTAAAATCTTCAATAAATTTCATATAATAGACTTCCAAGTCAATTTTCGCATCGTATTTAATAAATCAAATTTTTTCTAATACAATATTTATTTCCCATACAATTATTAAACTATTTATAAATTTTATTATAAAATACGTGTTTATAAATATATGCTCAAGAATGGATTCTCAAGATTCTAGCTCAAGTCTTCAAAGAAATATGTATACTGATGAAAGCGACAATGAAAATAATAATGATACATCCTCTATTACAAATACAACAACTAATACTAAGAAAAAAAGAAACAAAAGTAAAACAAGCTTTGTGTGGAAATACTTCGATGTAATTGGAGATAAAGACGTTTGTAAAGTTATAGTAAAAAAAAAATGTGAAGACAAAAAATGTGGAAGTGAATATATTTATAACGGTTCAACATCGAATATGATTGCTCATCTAAGATCATCGCATAATATTGTGGATAGCAAAAAACTAAAATCCGAAACACAAATACCAAAAGGTCGACAAA